GGGGGGGGGGTAGCTTGGAGAAGTTACTATTGCTCAACTAAAGCCTTCTGGGCTGGAGTAGGGTGGGGTGGGGGAGATTCTAGAATTAGTAGTTTAGATAACAGTAACTTCTCCTGGTTTTGAAACGGGCAGAATTCTGTTGCTCTTTCCTGACGTACATTTCGGCTGTGGGCTGGCCCCGAAGCAAAGACAATTTTGTGTGTGCATTTATTTCTTTCCCTTATACAGTATATGTGAGTGTGTGTGTGTGCACACATGAATGAATATGTGTGTATGTGAATTTCCCAGGTAATTCCAATGTGTTTGGAATCAACCTTCAGTCCAAACACTTTTTTCCCCCCTTCCCTGCGCTCCCTTTTCTCCAGGTCTTCTTGAGAGATTTGAGGGAAGGGTCATTTGTCGTGGGAGGAGGAATCCACTGTGTTGCCAACCTGCGTTGCCTCCTTGCCCCCCTCCCTCCAGCATGTGTGTAGCATGCAGGGAATTGTGTCTCTTGGTCCCCAAAATCTTATCTCTGTCCAGCCGGCTTCCTCCAGCTGAGTCTGTTGCTGGAGTGAACCCGCGCCATCTGCCAAACTCAGCGAAAATGTTAGATTTAAAAACACAAATGCCAAAAATGGGGAAAGGGGTTGTTTTATGTGGCTCCTTGCAGCCGCTTGGGTTTTGTCTAGCTTGGGTTAAGACAACAACAGAGTTTTGTACACAGAAAGGTTTTGTGCTGAGAAAAACAAAGGCCCCTTTTGGCTTCCGTTTCTGTCCTACAGGGTGTCCGGATCATGGCGGAAACGGCCTTCTCCTCAAGGTGATGATGATGCCCTCGAGCTCTGTTGGGGAATAACTCCCATCAATGGTTGTTGTGGGTTTTTCGGGCTCTTTGGCCGTGTTCTGAAGGTGGTTCTTCCTGACGTTTCGCCAGTCTCTGTGGCCATGGGCATCTTCAGAGGACAGCAACCTTCAGAACACGGCCAAAGAGCCCGAAAAACCCACAACAACCATTAGATCCCGGTCGTGAAAGCCTTCGCGAACACACACACACAAACCTTTGCAAAGTTAATTTAGGACTATGGTACCCAGACTCTGCCATTCAGCCCCTCTGCTAGGTTCCTGGGAGTTGTAGCTCTGAAATCTTCATACATACCTATATGCATAAATAGATGCATAGTTCACACCTGTGTATGTTATGATCCGTGCTTTGACCATTCTTAGGGCGACAACCCTCAGCCTCCCAGTAGCCTGTGCAAGCTTGGTGAGTTCTAGGCATTGTCATGCAAAAGCCACTTTTTCTAAGCTCTGTTTCTCCCTTGTACACACGCATATGCTTCCCCCCCCCTGCCCCAGCCCTGTCTGTATAGCAGGGACAATGACTGTGGCGGCCATACCAGAGTCTGCCCCAGGCCACACTGTTGCTCGGGGTGTGTGTGTGTGTGTGTGTCTTGCTTTCTTGGGGTTTGCATGTGTGTGTGTGTCTGTGCAGTAGCGTGTTTTTTTTTTTACAAATTAAAAGAAAGCAGCCCCTCAACTTGAAAGGCAACAGAGCATTCCTCATGCGTCAGACTCCACCTACGGATGGGTGGAAAGGAAGGAGACATTGACGAGGTGAGGGGGGAAGAAAAAGCCCCATGAATGTTCCTTTGCTGGACACCACCTGAGCGAAAACAGCCAGACACAAGAAGGGCATTATGTGCCGAGTTACAAAGTCATGTTTGTGAAAAGTCTGGAGGTGCCGCTTGTCCAATAGCCGTGCTGCAAAGCCCTTCGGTCTCCCCGCCAGGACCGTTGAGGAGCATGGTTCCAAGGGAGTGCGCCGAGCCTTCCTTTGGCTCTTCGGGGCCTTCGACGCAGCATGTGCGGAGAAAAGCTTCAGTGAATGAGCAGAGAGAGAGACAAACAGCAAAGCTAGAGGGAAGCGATGAGCCAGGTTAAGAAGGCGCTGTCGGTGTGGCGCCTGTGCCAGCTCGGCGTCGAGCGTTTCAGAACAGCGAGCGGCATTCAGGATCCCTGTCGGTTGAGGGCAGCTTGCGAATTAAAAAGCACCGGTACTTTCTCTGGGTAGATCGGACACCCCTTGTGTCGGCGGAAACTCACTTCTGCGGAAAAAATAATGTGCAACATATGCTGGCTATTGCTAGGGGACAGAGATTGCAAAACAGGTCACCTTTACTCCTGAGTGAGAGTTAAATCTTGGGGGGCAATGCACTAAGGAAGGCAGGAAAATACCCTGGGCTTTTCGCATCCACCCAAAACAGTGGCTTTGCGCGCATACATTACCTTCACCAGATGTGCATGCCATTGGGCAATGTGGCAATGAAGGCACATTGCCCCCTGGAGAGCTTTAATGGGCTGCTGCTTTTCAAACGGCTTTTCGGGAGTTCTCCGACTCATGGGGGGGTTGTCTTGCTGGGCCAGCATGCCAGCCAAACAGGGATGAGTGCCTGCCTCTGGAAAATAAAGAGTTTGTGGCCTCCAATGCTGGGCCCCTCCACTTTTTCATGCAAAACTGCTGGAGATTAATGTGGAAGGCAGGGATGTGCCTCCCAGACCAGACCAGCTTGTCCGGCGTGTCAGTTGTGGTTTTGTGGCCTGGGTGCGTGCTGCGATGCTCTTCGCCCTACAGTTATCTCCTTGGCAGATCAAAGGGTTGCCTCCCCTGAAGATTAAAAAAAGCACTCCAGTGTGCTTTGCTAGGTGCCAAAGGAAGTGTGGCTCTCTCTGCAGAGGTGCTAACCACATCTACGGGGTTGCATCTTTCGCTGCGGGACTGCTTTTTCTGCCCTTATTGTCCAGACGTGGCCTTTCCTGAAAGGTGGTTTTTAAGGTGTAGGGGAGTCATTTCCTGCCCTGTGGCCCTTCATGGTCTGCATAGATGGCCCCAAATACCCCCCCAATCAAATACAAAACAAAAAACAAGCCCATGACTGGATGTGGCTGAAATTTGGGAGGTTCTGGGTATGGCAATTCATCCCCCCTTTTTTTCTTGGGGTTTAGAGCTTGTTGGGGTGAGTGTAATCGAGAGAGAAGCTGGAGGGAAGGATTGCTTATGATGTAGCTGCACCTTTATTGAACAGGTGCATAAATGTACATTTTGCATAAAGCGACACTGTCGGCTCTTGTTCCAAAATGGAGGCAGAGCATCTCCCAGGCTGAGCTGTCCTGGGTATCCCTGCCATCTTCGTTTCCTGTAAAGCACCCCAGTGTTCAAATGTTCCTTGAGCATAGCTTGTTGGTTTTCTGCATCAACCAGGGGAGTGCAAAGTATTTTAGCTAGGAGAGGGGGGAATAGGCCAGGAAGTGTGAGGCATGGAGCTCATTGCTTTCCTTACGAACTGTCCTGGGGTCTGGCTGCATAATGCTACCCCCTTAACATGTTGGTTGCATGGACAGCTATTCATGCTGCCCCATAACAGGACCGGCTCTGATGGTTCCTTGTGCTCTCGATGGACGGATTTTCCAGTTTACAGATGTTTGTTAGATTTTTATTACTGTGAACCTTTTATTTATGATTGCTGTTCCTTCTTTCTGATAGAAAAAAGAGTTCCTCCTTCCGCCACCCTGAGAGGTAAACCCTCCATGCCCAGTTTCTCTTCCGACAGGAATTGAAATGGGCCCCAGCATCTTGACAAGGGCAGAGCCCGGCAACTGTTGTGGGTGGCCCAATCCCCCCTGCAGTCTCTATTTATGAGAAGACCTGCGTGCTGCATTCTTTTCTTTTTAATTTATAACGTATCTGCAGTCTAGCTGAGCGTCTTATTTATGGTAGATTTTGTTGAACGTTCAGCGTGCATGTGTACATGAGCGGAGGTCACTGTGACATGTCATAATGGAGCTGTACATATCCCTACAGTAGGATCTATGAATATTTTGTAAAAGAAATTTTAAAAATAAAAGTTTTGTGTTGAAAACAACAGTGCAGTTGCTTGGGGCTTGGGTCATAGAATCTGAGCGTCTTATTTATGGTAGATTTTGTTGAACGTTCAGCGTGCATGTGTACATGAGCGGAGGTCACTGTGACATGTCATAATGGAGCTGTACATATCCCTACAGTAGGATCTATGAATATTTTGTAAAAGAAATTTTAAAAATAAAAGTTTTGTGTTGAAAACAACAGTGCAGTTGCTGGGGGCTTGGGTCACAGAATACCTAGAGCAGAGTTTAAGCTGCAGTGCTGCATTTTAACCATGGTGCCACAAGGCTCCATAGAATCATAGAAAAGTCAAGCTGGAAGGGGCCTACAAGGCCATCAAGTCCAACCCCCTGCTCAACACAGGAATACAATCAAAGCACATCTGCCACGTGATTATCTAAGTTTTTCTTGAATACCTACCTCCAGCGTTGGAGCATTCACCCACTCCCGAGTTAATTGGTTCTATTGTCGTACTGCTCTTAACAGTTTGGAAGTTTTTCCTGATATCCAACCAAAATCTGGCTTCCTTTACCTTGAGCCCATGTTTGCATATCCTGTATTCTGGGATGATCGAGAACAGATCTTACCCTAATTATTTTGCCGTAAATCTTAGAGCAGCGTTACGAGGACAGGAATCTATCTGCTCCTGGCTTTTCACTGAATTATAGAATAATGGAATTGGAAAGGCATCGGTAAGGCCATTGAGTCCAACCCCTTTGCTCAAGGCAGGAATCCAAATCAAAGCAGATTTGACGGACGGTTGCTCGATTTTCTCTCGAAGGCCTCCAGCGTTGGAGTGCTCACCACCTCCTGAAGTTATGGGTTCCGTTGTCGTACTGCTCTAACGGTTAGGAAGTTTTTTGTGATATTGAACTGTGAGGAGGAACCCCCTTCCCAACAGAAAAGTGTGTGAGCCGTCCCCTCCAACGCCCACCACAGAGGGATACGAGTAGACCAGCCGTGGCCCAACTGAGAGAGTTGAGGAGAAAAAGAGCGGGAAAGATGAGTGAGAGGAGGGCGAGAAAGGGGAGGAGGATATCTGGGGACGGGCTGAGGAGAAGGAAGAGGAAAG